AACTTAGGTACATTTAATCGTAAAATTATAAATATAAGGGAATTTACTCACCTTTCTGTGCAGAACAACTGAATAAACATAAAAGTTCAGCGAAATATCACTTGGGGAATAAATAGTTTCAAGAATCTAGTCTAAATCAGCTGTTCGGGTGTTTTGTGTGCCATTGCACACATGGCGTCGCATTCATGTACTTCCGCGAAAATTCACTTAACCACCGTTTTCCCATTATGAACCTCGTCCAACCACTTTTTCCTCTTTTTTTTCGCCCGTTTGTTTTCCTTTTTTTCACTGTTTTTAGCTTTTTATGCTTTACCATTGTCCTAGTGTAGGCCTTACCTACCACTATCTCTAAAATACCGGATACCCCCAAAATTGTCCTGAACTGTGCCTTTAAGTTTGAGTTGAATATTCGAATTTTGTTAGGTCCAGGCTTTCTGTCAATATACGCATTGTCTTAGCAGTACTAGTTGTTAAGTCTCCAAGGACTGGTGTAACCATATATGATCAAATGTGTATATAAACAAACTTGTAGCAATTTTGATTTTTGTTGTGAAGTTATAGGTGACAAAATAAACTGCCACCTACTAAGATGTAATAACAACATAAGATTATGTAACAACATTCCATAAGGCGGTAATCAAATAATAAAAATAAACCAACGCAACAGCATAGAAGTTATTCGTTTGTGAAGTAATAAATAATAATAAAATAACTACAATAATAAAATGGTCCAGTCATGTGGTCTTTATGAGTAAGGACGACTAATTAACAAAAACGACATGATCTGACGTAATATAAAAACCTCATGTGTTGCTGATAAGAAATGGAAGCTCTCGAAAAAACTTTTTTTAAGTTAATCTCGTTTGATCTTTTCTTACAAGGTGTGAATCAGTTGGTTCGATCTGCTGCGGTGAGCATTCATGATAAAACGGCATACAACACAGGTGAGAAACGCCTTTTCATGATTCTTGAAAAACACATGTAGTTTTCAAAGTTCATTCAATTTTTCGCCCAGATTGTGTGCCATGACCCTCCATGGTTTCAACTTCCACAACGAACCATTTCGGAGATTCTGTCAACCCTCTCAGACCCTAGACAAAGGGGCTCTTTGCGATGCCTAGGGCTCTTAGGAGCAAGGAAGAGGAGACGTCTATGTAGGAAGTACTTTTGTATTTATACATGACTTATTTGTTTCAGAAGACAATCGCTCTGAAAAAACACATTTTTGTTCAAAAAATGCTCTGAAGCAATGAATTTTTATTCAGCATATCGTAATAATCAGGCATACAACGCAACACAATCAAGCTTATTCAGCAAGATCGTAGCACAAGCGAAGCGAACATTGACGCAAAGTAAAAAGAATAAAAGCGTAAAAGTTTCAGTTGACTGCTTCCGCCGCTTGACGGAGGCTCATTTAAGTACGTCCACCGCTAAAGGGCATATGACATCGACTTCGTCTCTTTCAGCTTGTATAGGGTAATAGAAGAAACGTGATAAACGTCCGTGGATTGACGTTTGCGGCGATGTAGTTGTACAGCAGGACTCGATGGGGTGTAGATGATGCAGTTATACTTAAAATTGAAAATGTCAAGTTATTTCAAAAGTTTGTTCTAGTGATTTGTACTGCTCATAGCGATGACGTTAACAAGAACATTATTCTACTCGCTTTGAGTGTACTGCTCTAGCTGCTCGTAAAAATGCGATAAAAAATGTGATTAGAGTCTCTTTCTGTGGTGATAAGTCGATTTTCCAGCCTAAAGTCCGACATCATTTCGAGCACCGAACGAGTAGTGAACTGCTCTCAGATACAGTGCGTCGTAGACAGCCACCTCTAATTTTCCCTAAAAATTTTCCCAAATTCTCTAGATGTACACATCAGCATTGAGCGGTAGCGACCATGATGGTCTCCAAGAGGTTTTTTTAGGTCTTCAGGCTTCTAAAATTTCTCCCCAACTATCCTTACATATGAACTCTCTAGGTCTGAAGGAAACTAAGGCGAATTGTACATAATACATACATATTTCGTATACAGATATTTTTGCTAAACTGGATTTCTGTGAATT